ATGCAAGAAATTGGATCCTATATTTAGAGAGATTGTATCCTAAGAGATAAACACTATCATAAGAGATAAAGGGCTGGCTTATGTTGTATTTTGTACAGCACTAAGTGAACACCAAACAGTCAGCAAATTGAGGAGTTCCTTAGGAAGACAAATGGGAATGTGGACTACTGATTTTGAACAGCTGTGTGTTTTCCTCAAGTTTACAGGTACCAAAGGAGGTAATTGTGCATAAAATAATTATTATCAATAATTGTGAAATAGAGTATGCTACATAATGTTTTTTCTTATCCTTTTGGCATGGCTGTGTGCTACTCATTTTTTTTTCAGTATATTTCCTTTTTGAAGTCTGTTTCTTCCAGTTTTCAGTTTCTTCTTTCTTCTTTTTGCTGTATTATTTCTACTGCTTTTGTCATCCTTCACCTTCTTCCCTCATAATCAGGGTCAGATACCTTCCTTCTGGAATTTGCTTGCTGGAAAATGAATGAGACCAATAGTAGAGTGAGAATAAGCGTTTTTTCAGAGGTATCTCCAAGGCACAGAGTTAAAAGTGTTTTTCTGGCTTACGATAGCTTGAATAGACCTTTTGAAATTCTAACCACCTGGAGCTTTCCATTGGTCTCTAAAGGGAGGTGTTCTGGTCAGGCAAGATTAGTGTATTAGGGAGGGAGTTTTCAGCTGTTCTTTGAAGAAGGAAGAAACTCTGAAAGCAATGTGTTGTTGAGCTCTGAATGCTTGCCGAGCTTCACTTTACTAACCAAGAAAATGCACTTTGGCAAAAAGAGGCTTTGCAGATGATGCCCTGGCCAAGTAGCTGGTAATGATAGATATAGCCAAGGACAGTAAGCATGTTGCAGCTTTACACAGTAGAGGAGGAAGTTCCTTACATGGTCAAGGAAAACCTCTGCTTTATATCTCCCTGCTAAAATAGTTTCATGTCTGCTTTAATTGCTGAAGTCTTGAATAAACTGGAAAATAGTATAAGAATAGGTTGTTGGTAACTTGTCTGATTTGGTGACAAGACAACCCCTGCATTTAACTTTGCAAACAAACAAACGTGTGCTTCAAAGCTCGAAACTCTTCTCCCTCCTTTTGGGATTGTGTGTTCAGTGTAAAATACTTCGACTTGTGCTCATGGTCTGTACCAGTCAATACATTAAAAAGATAGATGTTGAAAAGATCTCTTGCTATGGTGGTAATTAACATCTTCCCCTGGGTAGGCAGACAGCTGGAGTACCATTTCTCTTTTGGAACTATTGAACTTAATGATTTATTCTAGATCCACTCTGTGCAGTCCATTCTTTATCCTGTATCTGAAGGTCTGGAGAAGCATCCACAGAGATAATGCGGCTTTTTTAGCAGGAGAGCTGTTGCATAGAAAAGCCTGGGCCTGAACAGAAACTGCTCAGTCTCCAGTGATATTTGCACATTTATTTCCACAGTTAAATAGGATTGATGAGTGGGCCATGTAAGTATGATGCCTCGTAGCGTTGTCTATAGGAGAATTAGAATACCCTAGCCAGGAGGAAAGCAATCCCAGGAGGAAAGTTTTTAATCCCCAGCAGCATGTCAGATGTCCCAGTCCCATTATCGAACACAGAATTACTGTGACATCTTTTAGCAGCAGGCTGTTTCTTATGTTTCAACAAACCAAACATCACAACATTTTGAAATACATAGATCTAATTCTGCTGTCCTTTTACCTGTTCCTCAGGTAATTTCACCATTGAAAACTGGCAGACGAGAAGTAATTTTTGTATTTGCTTGTTTGTAATTACACCCATGAAGGTTCTAGCATGAAGGCAGTGGAGCTTCATCTTTGGGGAAGAGGATTTGCCTCTTTGTGGCTGCCAGTGTTGAATATGTGACTGTGGATCAGTCCACACAGATCTCAAACCATGTGAACATTCATCGCCTGTTTAAGTAAAGTCACCTGGGAGGGAAGTTGGACCGCTTCAGAGCTGTACATCCAGGTGATACTTGGCTAATAATTCCTCCAGAGTGCTGGTACCACCTGAGGCCCAACACCACAGTGCACAAAGTCCCTCTGCATGCTTCAGCCAGCCAGTGTACTCTGGGGTTTGGTGGAAGGGGAAACTGTGCTTAACTTTTAAAGAGAAGATAGCAGTGGCTGTAACTAATAGAGCTATTGCTAAAGTAAGCCACAGCTGTGCTCGTACTGGCAACAGCATATAACTTGCTATTACTCACCAGGGTGCAAAAACTGTGGTTGCTATTGTCAGCCTTGAAAGGAGGATAAATCTGCTTGTTCCAAAAGGGTGTCTGGGTAATTTAATAAATGAATCCAGGAGAAAACGCTGCTTCTGGGTGAAATAGTTTCGTGGATTTTTTTATGGTGATTGTCACCATAGCTCTGTTTGTTCTTGTGCCCAAGGCATGAACATTGCAGCACATGAGTCTGTGAAGTATGTAGCCATGAGGAACAGAAATTTGGGAAGACTTTGGGCGATTGCTTGTGCCAATTTGAAAAAGGAGGCAACGAAACAAATCCCAGTGCAGAATCTTGTGTAGTATGCTTGCAAACATGTAAGCCTAGAGACATAGCACACATTTTAATTTACACGAGTCTGGGTTTTGGTTGTTTTTTACAGATACCTGATTGCTAAGCTGTGCGAAATGTCCAATGTAAGCTATGTTATTGCCCAAAAGAGTTGAAGAAAATGAAGTAAACCTTCTAAAGATTTCATCTTGTGATTGTTTCTGAACCATTACTCTCGATAAGAAGAAATCATAGCTTAATATACTCCAGAAGAGCAGCAGAAGTAACATTAAAAAAAAAAATAAAAAGAGGAAAAATACTAAACTGAGCTTATGCCTCTTCAGACAATGATAGTTTATTACCTTAAATTTGATTTTGTTTTCTCACCTTAATGTAATGTGGTGTTTTAAGGAGGTTTTAAAAACAAACAAAACCACCTATGCTGTTAATCAAAATTTAAGTTTTTTTTTATTTCAGCTTTTTTTTCCCCTGAAGGAAGACTGTAAAGTGTAGTATAGTATTAGAAAAAGCCTGTGATTAACAAAATCGTGACAGAAAGACCGCAACAGACAGATAGGAGTTTATTAGTGTGATCTCTTAAAAATTTGAGTGTCTTTTGCTTTTACCTGAGGGTAAGGACTCTGTTCTGAAGACTTACAGAGATAAAGAAAAATGGCCCTTTAATTCTGGTAATTTAATTGGGGGGGTGGGGGTGGGGTGTGGAATCAAAACAGTGCCTGGAGGATATTTCTAGGGGGTAGAAGGGAACAAAGGAAGATGAAGACCTGCAAGCCAGGCTTACAATGTTGGGCTTTTTCCTAAAAACATAAAAAAAACCCTTCTGATTTCAAAATACTGAGCAAATCTCAGTAAATAGCTCAATTTCCACTCATGTTCAGCAGCCAATAGTTATTAAAAATAGTTGTTAAAATGCATCAGTAACTATTAGTCTCTTCATAGAATATAAATGCTCTTTCAATGGCTAATGCAGTAATTCTATTCAACTAGCATAAAAATAATTAACTTGTACTATCAATCAGATGTACTACTGCATAAGCTATTTGTTTTTGACCCAAAATGATCTTCTTATTGTAGCCTGATTAGTTGATCAGACTAAACCTAACCTAAACATCAGCTTCATAATTTTTGGAGTGTTTTTTTATTTCTTTCCAGACTCTCAGAAGTGCAGTGAGACCATAGTATCTGAAGCAATGGGGTTTTTTTGCAGCTCCAGGGTATAGCAGCAAATACTGTTGGTTGTAATATATTTGAATTCCTTCTAGGCCTAAAGCTTTGTTCTCAATATATGTAGTTGTGGAAGCTGTTTTCCAAATGGCCAGAAGTTTTTTTGCACCATCATGAAACTAGCCGAAATTCTCGGCGTGATGCATTGTGCAGTTTCAGAATACAATAGATCTATCGAGGGCTGTGTGAGCTGGTCCCAGAAAACATTACTCATACTAATGAGTGAAATAGGGAATATTTCCATTCCTATCTAAAGTCAGGAAGAACTTTAAGAAGTGGTGAGAGCTGTTGACTGCACTGAGAGATGCTAATGAGCGTTTGTATGATGTAGTAACAAGAGTGGTTTTAATATCTTGTAAAGGTATTCACAAAGTTTGATGGGAAGGTTACACTCAGCACAATCATTTGAGCAGTGATTTGAAGTACCAAGGCACGAGCCAAAGTTAGCAAGACACAAATCGAAGTTACAATACTGTAAGGTTATGTGCGGTACCAGTCACTTACCAAATATCTGACATTGGTAAAAGGTCTCTGCCTTGAGGAGCAACCTTGACAAGTGTCCCAGCTCAAGGGGAGATCACTGCCATGCAGCCAGGCTGCTTAGCCAGCAGAGCTCAAAGGTGGCTCAATTAGGCTGTTATGGAACAAAGTGGTTGGCTTGTAGTCACATTACATGTGATGGGAAAGGTATGCACAAGACTCCTTGTACCCACAACTTCCTTTGGTCCTTAATAAATGAGTCTTGGAAAAGATATATGCTATTCACGTGTTAATAGCATGATTGGTAGCATGATTGGTGTTCCAAGTTCATACGCACCAATGCCAACTGTGTCACTCTGCTCCGAAAACAGATTGGAACTAGAGGAGTTACTGGTCCGGCTGTGTCTCAGGCCTTTATCTCCTTTGGAACCTGAACGAAACTTCTGCTAGTTTAGCTAAGGGGTAGAGTGCACCCATCACACACCTGTTACTGTTCTGGAACATGCAGGATACCAAGAGCTTGGATTCAGTAATGCCAGAATTTAACAGAAGTGAAAAAAACCTATTAGGCAGTTTGAACCATGTGTTGTAAAGAAAGGTGGTAGGGAAGCTCATTCAGATGTGTCTAGTATGTCTAGAAGTTTACTGTCTCTGAGATGTAATGTGCCTTTTGAGCTGCAACCATCTTTTCCATGAGAGAGGCATTGAGCCCTGGCTGTTAAAACATAGGACGTGTCTAGAGTGTGAATGTGATCTCCTTAATGGTAGAGGAACAGCAATGACTGTCAAAAATGAAGAAAAATCTCTAGCTCCTTTTGTGGCAAATGAAGTTCCCAGTGCTGCTTTGCTTAATGAAGAGGAGGATGTAGGTGCAGTTGCACTACTAGAAGGTGTTAAGGGTGTACAGATCCTAGAATCAAGAGTCATAGGGTCGCAGAATCATACAGTGATTTGGGTTGGAAGGGACTTTAAAGACCATCTAGTTCTATCCTCCTTGATATGGGCAGGGACACCTTCCACTAGACCAGATTGCTCCAAGCCCTGTCCATCCTGACCTTGAACCCTGCCAGGGATGAGGCAGCCACAGCTTCTTTGGGCAGCCTGTGCCAGATGAGTAAGGAATTGCCTTTTCAGAAACTGAGAAATTCTTGTGGTCCTTCTGCCCTTCTCAGTACCCTTTTGAATTTTAAAAGAGTAAATGAAGTTATGCTTAAACAGAATCCTGTGTTACCACACAAAATTTGTACTCAAAACTTAAGAAGCAGTAAGTCATACTGAATTCAGTTTGTCTCCAAAATGGGTAATGGATGAACATGACTGACTACAACGTTTTTTTCTCTGTGTGTACACGCACACATTTATTACATACACACATATGCATTTTTATATGTATATACACACTTATATTCCCTGAAAGAAAAAATTCAGTTTTCCTATAGTTTATGAGGGCAATTTTATGCTGAAAAAAGTCTTCCATTGTAACTTACTGCCTACAAAACCAAGGATTTTTGTTCTCTAGCACTGGATATACCACAGATTTGAGTGGTGTTCTACAAGAGATTTGTATTGTAGGCACAACATTTTTGCAATTAAAATATGCATGTGTTTCATTCTGTGTTTTACTTTGGAAGAGAATGTTAGTTTGAAACTGAGATTTTGTTTAAAAATGCTGATGTATATATATTTTTCCCTTTTGTGGTAAAGTACGGTTTAGAACGCATGTTTTTTGTTCGGTTGGTTTTGCAATCCTTTGTTTAAAAAGTAGGGGCTTAGATTATAGATTTTCTCTTTATCAACCCTTTTGCAGAGTTTTTAGGCAGAGAATAAAAGAGCTTGTAAAATAATTTGGTCAGTGCGAGCTTAATGTGTTGCACAGTTGGTGCTGTGTCTGAAGGTGAGCCAGGCTCTGCTAGAACTGATATATAAGCAGGTAGCTGAATGGTTGTGTTTTACTGGTTTGTGTAGCAGAATTACAAAATGTTACTTTTTATTAGTAATGCCCCTTACACAAACTGGTAGAAACATTGCAGATATTTGTAACTATTGTGTTTTTTCCTTCTAAACTGGCTAAAATAGAAAACTCCAGCAGTATGTGTCTTTCAAATGAAAGGAAACACGTATAATTTTTGTAATGCACGGCTTAATGGACCTGATATTTGATCTGTTTACAAAGAAAAGGCAAAAGTTACCTACAGTTGAATTTATGCAAACTCTTTTGTATATTGCTTTTATTTTTTTCCTAAGCTTTACAGTAGGGAATAAGATAAAGATGTTAGTATTGCCTGCATATATAAATAGTCAAGTTCAGTATGATGGTTGATAAACAGAAATGTTACTCAAGGGGTATGTGAGGGGATGAAGGCACGGGCCCAGAGCATCTTCACGCAGTGAATCACTTTATTGCCTACTGCTCTAACTTCTTATACCATTCTAACAACAGTTATTTTTAGCTTATTGCTCTAGCTCTTATACCATTCTGTTTGTAGCCTATCATGTTTAGTTCCTGACTTATAGTTTGTTTTTTAACACTGATCGCTTTCTCACAACCAGTCCCAGAATAGCCAGTCTCTTATCTTTATGCTCTCTCCTCCTCAGCCAGGTGTCTTGGTATCTTATGCTCTCTCCTCTGTAGCCAGCTGGTTGCTCTGCTTGATTGTACTTTGTTTCTTCTTTAACTCTTTCTTCTCCAGCCAAGCAGTTACTTCTCTTTGGCAATAATCCTATAGCTTCCATTGTTTCCCACAGGTATGTGCTATAAGATGTAAAACGATGTCTTTGTTTAATATTTCCAATATTTTCTCAAGTTGTAGGCACTGCTAAATGATCTTTAAATTGAAATATACTTTTAATGTAACTACCTAGTGCAAAAGACTCTTTTGAATTAAGCTTTTTACCTGCATTTGCAACAGATGAAATTGCATGTGTATAATGATTGGAAAAAAGTGAACTTAAACCATTCTTCAGCAGATAGACGCAAATTTTAATTGTCACTGTAATTATAAGGAAGAAGTCGATGATTTTCTTTTTTAGTTCCTTACCTGATCATCTTTGAATGGTTATGATGTGAAGAGAACTTTATCCATCAAAGATTGTGGGTATGACTCAGTTCAAGAGTATTTGGAAGGACTCTAAATAATGTGAATAAGAAAAATTCCTTAGAATTGATATATTAGGCCCATCAAAACCTGTCTTTTAACCATCTGTTTTTTTATTGGATGCATTGTATGTTTTAATGGAGTGTTTATTTTTGATGTTTGATAGTTTGTTAGCAGTAGGTAGCGTGAGGATTTGATAATGACCTCGATTCAAGGAACCAGTAATGATACTAAAAGTTCAAATGCTGACTGACAAAGACTGTCACTCCAGGATTTCCTTGAGGAAGTCTAGAAAATGTTGGTAGAAACAGGAAATACTTCATTAAAAACTTTGGCTCTTGTAAAACTGTTTCTAAATCATACAAGAATTTCCAAATGATAATGGCTGATCTGCCAAATCTAGTTCCCTGGAGAAACAGATTTCTGTGTCCCCAAATAATTTTTTCTGGTATTTTATGTTTTACATTCAAACCTCTAGTATTCTTTTCTCTCCAGTTTCTTCCAAGTGTTGAGAGACTTGAGATAACACTTTAGCACTGGAGGTTTTTGAATGATTATTTAATTAGATCTAAGTCTAATGATCAGACAATCCCAATACAGGAATAAAGAGAAGAGATGACAATTTAGTGAATGTGCTTAATTAGTATTTTGCTTTAAAGATGGATATCAACACAAATATTTTCCCTAACAGGGATGATTGGGCTGCATATATAATCCACATGGAAGAAAAAGTGGTGGACTTCATTAAGACTACTACAAGGGGTTATATATTTCATTGTAAAATGAGTGCTGCTGGGGAAGTACCACCAGTGTGGTAAAGCATGTATGTATCCCTAGACTCTGGATCCACAGATACTCAGCCAGGCAGGCTTTCTGGAACAATAGGGAAGCAGTAGCTCTATTGGCATGAAACTGGCTGCATACTGTTCTCTATATGGTAGTGATTCCCGTAAACTTCTATTTAGATTTTTTTTTTTTTTTAAAGCAGCCACAAAATGGCTCAGAAGAGCTTTGAAACTGAGCAGACAAATCTCAAGAAATATAACTGAAGCAAAGGATTTTGCATTCAACATGAAGTGTACCATATGTCTTTCAGGAGCAGAAATAACAAGACATTTAATAGCTTTTTTAATGCACCTTACTCTGTCAGATTTCAGGCATACAGTAAACTCCTAACTGGATTTCCATTCTCTTACGGTTTTCTGCCACAGACAAAGTCTTGAAAATGGATTCTTTCTCTTCAAATGTTGTCGTTACTTTTTAATCATCTCAAATACAAGTAGTTAATTTTAAAGATGATGTTACTTTTTTTTTTTTTTTCCAACCTCAGGAAAAATTTTGTTAAGTTGCTGCTCAAAAAGGAGTAGTACAATGACAGCTTTAGGTCAAATGGATTCCTTTTCAGAACCAAACACGCGCTTCTTGCAGTCTCTTATTAACAACTTGGGCTTATTTTTTTGAGTAATTTCCTTTAATATTCACACATGTTTTGTGAAAGAATTATAGAATCATAAAATAGTTTAGGTTGGAAGGGACCTTAAAGCTCATCTAGTTCCAACCCCCCTGCCATGGGCAGGGACACCTTCCAGTAGACCAGGTTGTCCAACCTGGCATTTGAACACTTCCAGGGATGGGACAGCCACGACTTCTTTGGACAGCCCATGGCAGCAGCTCACCACCCTTACAGGGGAGAACTTCTTCCTGTGAAGGTGGTGAGATATTATCTTGGCATAATTTTTGCAAATGTAATAAAAATATGGTTTATGACCCAAAAGACCTCAAAAGGAACATTTTTAAAGTCAGGGATACTTGTAAATCGTATTTCGTATTTGCACATACCTCTTATTTTCCCCAACATGAACATGCCATCATTTTGTCAATGCTGTGGACACCAAGAGTTAGAACAGTGCTCCTCTTCCATGCGTAGGTGTTGAAAAAATTGATCAGATTTTTCCTGCGGTCTCCTAGAAAATCAGCTTCAAAATCAGATACAAATTTTTAATTAGTCTAGTTCATAAGTCAAGGGAAGTATTAGCAGCTTTTCAGCCCCTGCATTCTGGATTAATGGTTTTGCATAATATGACTGAAAGAAGGTAATGAAAGGTAAATTATGGTTTTACAGTATGTACTTTGCAGGTAATTTTTTATTATTATTTTTAATTAGACTGGTCTAGTTATATTAGCAGTACATAGGGACATGTCATCTTGGATAAACATGAGATTTTGGGGTTAAAGAGCCTATAAATAGTCTTAATTTCACTCTTTCTTCCACACCTGCTTTCTGTCATTGGGTATGCAAACTAATGAGTGGAAGATTTAATGTTGTGTATGAACAGGACAAAATAGCTGAAGTCAGTTTCAAGTTAGTTTTTTTTTTAAATACTTTTTTTTCTGTGTGCTTTTCAGTGAAGTTGTTGGAGGAATTAATCAGTTGTAATTGCAGACTGTTAAAACAAGGGAAGGCTTAATATCATTGTACCTATTTGTGCTGATAAGTTTTATTGCTGAGTGGATTTTGTTATTGTTATTATTATTTGTTTTGAAATGAGATTCAATATTTTTGTACCATTTTGAGGAAATTAGTATCAGTATTAATTGACAGTAACCATGATAGGTCCTGTTATGGATAAGAATTTAACCTCAGATGCTTACGTTTCCACAAAAGGAAATCCATCATGGTACAGTTAGAGCATAAAATGAGGTTAGCAGATATTGGTGATGGGGGTTTTTTCGTAACTTGTTTGGGCAAGTACTTTTAGGCTTAATCTGCAGCCTACCAATTCGGGTATTTGTTCACAGAATCTCAGAATGGTTTGGCTTCGAAGGGACCTTTAAAGATCATCTAGTCTGACCCCCAGGGTTGCAAGGGGCTTCCACCATACAGATACTCCACACCCCTGGATTTCCACAGAAATTGTGAAAATAGGGATTTAAGATCTGCTGAAATCCCAGTCTATTAAAAGATATATTCTATAAGTAACTGCATTTAAAAATATGCTACAGGGAAACATGCATCAGCAAGCACTGGAACTTTTAGAATATGTTTTCCTCGATCTGTTTCCACCTATATATTCTTCTCTGCTCAGTTTTTTAGCTCCTACTCCTCTGTTTCATATTTTCCACATGAAGCACAGTAGTATTTTAGGCTGGTTGTTAGGTGCACCATCTTCCAACGTGTAATAACATGAAGTCAGATCTCTACTGTGCTATTATCTCCATTCATAGTGTTTTCATAGCTCTTTGTGACTAAAAAGACCATCTGAAAATGCATAGTTAACTCATGTTCCACTTCATAGTATTTGCAAACAGTCAGAAACGTGACAGATAGGAAATTTGTTTAGATCATGTGATACCACATCTGTTCTTAGCATTTCAGCTGTGCTTGGGGTGTTGGTGTGGCACCCACCCAGTCTCCTAGCACCAAGCCTGGCAGAATGGAGGGCCTCAACCCATCTTCCTCCTCTGCAGGAAGCCAGGAGTTGTCCCTAAGATAACCATTCAACAGCATAGTACAGCTATCCCTTGTCCAGGGCACACATCCGTTGTTTACAGGGCTGATCATGCTGCAGTGATCATATTTTGAGGAGGAAGTTTCATGAGACTTGCTACTAGGAAATGAGCTGGTCATATACAGTGGCTGGAAAGATCAACCTTGCCAAGGCCTGTGTTAGAAGAAGAAATGAATGCTACGATCCTTAAACACTGACAAGTTCTTACAGAACGCTGATGCTGGTTTAAGTGGTTTGTTGTTGTAATTTGTCTTGTCAAATCTTAGAGTATGTGTACTCTAGGGGCTTTTTTGTGTTGGCTATTGTTTGGGTTTTTTACACAAAGATCCCATCTTGTGTCTTCAGTATTGTATTTACAGTAAGTAGTAGAACCAGTTCTGTATCTTTGAGTCTTTCCTCTCTCTATTGTCGATCTTGATTGTAGTATTTCTCTACTATTTTTTTTTTTCCTGGATTTCCTGGATCTCATCTTCCATGAGATTCTTGTCTGGCATATTTTAACTCATACTCCTGAGTTTTGAGACAGTGTAGCTTATCCAGGAGTTCCTTTCAAGTAACTTTAGACCTTTTGTGGAGAAAAGATTAATTAAATCTTCTAGGTAAGTTTTAAATTAGCTGCTGTTAATTCAAACTTCATTTCAGTTTAGCTATCATAATTTTTTGATAAAGCTACTTAGTTTAAGTATTCAATGCAGAAACTTACTTTTTTGACATAGTTATGGTCACTTATTTCTTTATAAAAAATACAGCAAGCTTGGCCTGTATAACTCTTCCTTATAAAGTCATCTTACATAGAAGCAAAATATTAGTTTGTAATTGCTTTGTAAGGGATTGTTTTGTATTTGTGTCCACAACTAACTTGTTCTGTTTCTTTTTTCTTCTTTTTCTCTTATTTTAAAAGGTGTTTCTCAAGAGTGACCGGGTTGCAAGAATGGTCCACAGTGGAGGATGTTCTGCAAATGACTTTAGAGATGTTTTTAAGAAAAACATTGAGAAGAGAGTCCGAAGTTTGCCGGAAATCGATGGATTAAGCAAAGAGACAGTGTTAAGTTCTTGGCTAGCCAAATATGACGCCATATACAGGGGAGAAGAGGACTTTTGCAAACAGCCAAATAGAATGGCCTTAAGTGCTGTGTCGGAGCTGATTCTGAGCAAGGAACAGCTGTATGAAATGTTTCAGCAGATTCTAGGGATCAAAAAATTGGAACACCAGTTGATTTATAATGCCTGCCAAGTAAGTATCAGTGTCACTTGGTTCTGTTGTGTCCAAAATACCTTCCCCCTGCTAACAGGTCAAGTACTTCCTCCCTATGTGCAGAAGCCTTTAGTTTTAAGTACATCTTCAGAGTCCAAGGGGATGAGGCCCCTCAGAAGGGAATCTTTGCATCATTTGTTTGCTGGAGAGCTCTTGGAAAAAGGGTCTGCCAGAGTATATGGCACTTATGCTACAGGGACCTCTTGAGACCTTTTGCAGTATCACAGTTCTAGGGATTTGGGTGATCTGCAGACTGTTCTATGGTCTGTATTCCTGCATACCCTCATATAAATCACATATATACGTACATATATTTGTGTGTATGTGTACATCTTTAAAAGAAATCTGCTGCCATAAATGGATAGGTGAAAGGTGATTGACTTCAGGATGCTCTTGGCCATCCATTGTCTAGGAGGTCGCTATATTAGAACTCAATGTGCTTCATTTCAAACGCCATCTACGAAGCTAATTTGCACATTTTTACTTTGTTGTTTTGTTAGATAAATGTGGTGTTCCCCATAAATTACTGAGTCCAAGACAGTCTGTTCAGCAACTGCTTTTGGATTTATATGTGTAATCTATCGCTAATCAGTGCTGTAAATGGTGTGTAAAATTATTTTATCTGGCCAGTCGTGATAGTGATGCAAGTATAAATTACCAGTTACTGAGGGAGGAAAAACCTGAAAAAAGCAAGATATTTTTGAAGGACTTGCAACAAACCAGTGTGGAATATAACATTTAAGCTGAGTTCACACAGCTTTCTACACTGTCTATAAAATAGTACACCAGACTACAGCTAAGCTGGTTTTGATATATTATGCTGAAGACTGGCTCGTAGTTATGGGCCATTTTAATACTGGAACAAATGAGGAGTCTTTGACATTGTTGCCTACTTCATTTATGGATTAGTGTGGCATGAAATTATATAAATGATTGAAACATCTGTGGTGTTCATGATGCTGCTTCTTCTTTTGTAATGAGAAAATATAATATTTTATTCGGCAGCAAATTATGATGGCTTCCTATTTTAGATGTGAGCTATTTGCCAAGAGGGTGGAAAGAGACTTCTAAATGAGAAGTGTTTTAAATGGAAAGAGACAGAAAATAGTCCTTTTTTCTTGTTTGCCCCATCTTTTTCCTTTTGCCTCTTAATTCACATACATGTAAATCATGAAGCTAACCTCTGGTATATACAGGTTGGTTACAAGACGAAGAAGCACTGAAATCTTGGGGGACAATCCTGCTTATTTGTTGGTTGAGTGGTTTGTTGGTTTTTTTCTTATACAATAGAACATAGATGTATGGGATAATTCAGTTTGGAAAAGTCCTCGGGAAGTCATTTAGTGTAACCTCTTGCGCAAAGCAGGATCAGCTGTCAAGACAGATTAGGTTACTGAGGGCTTTAACCAGTCAGGTCTTAAAACTTCCAAGAATGGAGATAGACTCTGCAAACTCTCTGGACAACCTGTTCCAATACCTGAAAACATGATGTATGAATTCCTCCTGCCTCTGGTGTCTAATGATTGCTAAGTCTTATCTTATACGTCACTGTGAATGGTCAAAATCTGCTGTTAGTCTGCATCATTGTAGAGTTTTAAAGTATTAAACAAAAAAATCATTCCCTTAGTCTAGAAGGGGTTCTGATGATACAGCTGCCTAGGTTCTTCTATCTGTATACTTGAAGGCTTCTCTATTTTGGTTCTTAATTGTAGGAATGTTGATCGAACAAAACTGCTTGGCAAATGTAAACAATTCTCTGACTGTACTTGGTCCATAACGTCCAGAGAGACTGAAACATTGCAGTGACTCATAGTCTTCTACCATAGTAGAATTTTAAGCATGAGATGACTTTCTTTTCTATTTTATGAATTGCAAATTAAAGAGGAAATAATCTGTTAGGTGGGAAGGGAGAAGAACTGACTGATCATCCTGATGTGTGTGAGGATGACTCAATGAGATTAAGAGAAGACTCTTCTCTTGCTCTTCCTGGTTTTGAGCACTGAAGGTTGTAAAGTTTCCTGTGCAGGTCTCCAAAGTACACATTGTTTACCCTGGATTCATATAAGTACTGGAGGGCAGGAAGAAAGGGAGCCTTACTTTGGGAGCAGATATAGGAGCATCTACATATTTAAATCTGGGAAGAATGGCTCGAGCCTATATCCTTCTTCTTTGAAGTTCTAGTTTTCTGAAGATTTTAGTTTTCCAAGGCAAGGATGAGATTACTTTGCAGAATAAAAACTTTAATTCTGTACTTCAACAGAGTTGCTACCAACCATGCATTTCATATCCTGTTCCTGTGGTCCAGTCAAGCACATAATATACCAAACGCATGAGGAGAAGCGTGTTGCAAAGAAAAAGACAACAATCATAGCCTTCCCAGGAAGTACCTTGCGGACAGCAACCAGTCTCTGATAATGTAATGCCTTTTCTCCTTTGCTGAAATCCCTTATTTCTCATTACAGTTTTAATAAATATTTTAGTTTAGGCTGTATCTAATTCCTTTCTATTGACAGTGCATTTATAGAAGATGAAATTAAGTTAAGAGTCAGATTTCAGTTAGCAGCAGCAGTTTTCATTCTGCCCTAAAAGCTTCTATCTGTCTTCGTATGAAAATGCTCACTTTCATTTCCCTTTGCCACTGCTGCTTAGAATACTAGAGACTTGCAGATAATGATAATCAATAGTGTCTGGGAGCAGTGAGATAAGTGAAAGTCCAAACAGATGTTAAAATTGTATTTTCAATAGAGGTTTTGATGAGTTGGCTTCTAGCCTGTGCTTCTAGGAGAGAATCAGATATATAAAATTCTGTATATTTTGCAGCTCTGAGAAACAGCTGCCCTTAACTGCAAATCTGTACAGTTATAATTTGTGCAGAAAACTCTCTTCTTTTCCCCTTTCTTTTTTCTTTCCAGCCCTTTGGAAATAGGAAAGAGAAAAATGTCTTACAATATCGATGATAAGAGTAAATTATCCTGCACCTACAGGCCTGCTAAATAGACAAGGATGCTATTTCTAACAGTAGGAGGTAGTCTGTCATCCTCCTCCTTTTGACTTTCTCTGCATTTAGAAACTTTTCGTTGGTTTTCAGCAGCTTTTGCTCCCCAGCCTGTTCTAAATGGAATGTTCCCTTCAACTCTTAAACCCTTGGTGTCTTGCAGCAGCTCATCAGCTGGTTCTGCTAGGGTGTGGGTTACTATGGGTCTGCACAGGTTGCCAGTCTCCATCCTTTGTATGATAGCAGTGAGAAACAGCGTTCCTTCAATCAGCACAAGAACTTAATCAAAAATAAAGTGAATAGTAATAGACCAGCTCTCTGACATTGTCGAACACACAGTCCACGTGTGAGAATTTTACTCATTTTTCTTTGAAGAATAACTTTTTGTCAATCTTTTTACATACATTAAATGCCTAAGCTTGCCCTTAGGTAGTGAACATTAACAGGATGTTCACATTAAGTTGAAGACTTCTATGAACTCATTTTCGACTACAGTTTAAAGGAAGGCCAGCAACTGATGCCAACCACTTCTATTTCTTTGTGATTAAAAAATCCATTTTTTAAAGTGGCAACGCTTTCACCTGATTTTTATTTACATTGTGTTGCCTTAAGCTGTGTTTTATGGTACAGAAATGATTTCCAGTTAGCTGGGACTTAATGAGCTCCTTGACTTGCTTTCGAGATGCCCGGCCACAGTGTGTTGTTATGGTTTCTTTGATTTATAGACATCAAACATGATATAGTCTTTTTTTCTTTCTTTCTTTTTTTTCTTTCTTTTTTTTTTTTTTTTATATTTTTCGCTGGTGTAGAGGATAACTTTGATGCAAAAAGTCAAACTGAAAGTCAAACTCAAACTGATGTGTGGTCATGCACTATTCTTGCTACACTTCACCAGTACTAGAATTTCTGTACCAGGTAAATCAGAAGTCCACACAGTTTTATTTTGAAAGTACCTTTATAAGGTTGATGTTTTTAGCTGATCTGAATGCCTTGTCTGGGGTGCGGGGAGGAAAGAACACCGAGTTTCATAATGAAAAAATTCCTGCAAGTCACATTCTCTTTTCTGACAGATAGTAAGTAATTCTGAGAATAATGTAACAGGTTTTAAGAAGAATTATTTGCGAAGTCTTCTACTATTGACTTTTTGGGAATCAACCAGAAACCAGTTCTTCAGTAAATAGTTTTAGATGGTACTTTGGTGCAAGATACAATTTTCTGCTTAAAAGCCTTGTGTTGCATCTGGTTCACATCCTTTACTATCTTTAGCTTTTACAACATGTAACTCTTCGTTTAAGTGCGTAATACTGAGAATCGTGGACTATATTGTATCTTCCATAATAAATTTTTGTACTTTTAATTGAGAGAGATTTATGTGAAGAATTTCTCCTGAATCAAAGTCTTCTTATGATGCTCAATACAATTGTGCTCTTTCACCCAGCACTTCACTGAAGTCCAGTTAATTATGCAGGTTTGGAAATAAGTCAAATTAAGGGCAGTTTAATTTGCCACAACGCCTTAATTACTTTTGAATGTTTGTAGTTCTGATCCTTTCCTCAGTAAAATCATGAAAAGTAGTACATTTATGTCACGAATCATAGGATTACCCATAGTTCTGGATATTTTTCTTAGAAACTCTCATACACTAAATTATAAGGATAAATGCAACTTTATGAAGTGCAAGAATATATCCTTGTACAGAAAGTATCAGGGTAGCATTGATACTTCTTGAAGTGATTAAACAAATATTAAGATTCCCTTCAATACGTAGACCAAAACTGAAACAGATTCATTAATTCTTTAAGTTGGGGCAAGTCACATGAAAAAAACCCAAAAGGCTTGGGCTGTATATTATAGAACACATATGTTATGTTATGTTACTGCTGGGTAGCCAGAGTGCATGCTGCCAGTGTGGGGCTGAGTTTCTTTGCTCTCTAGATAAAAGTCAGTTATGCAGATTGTTCATAGTAGATGGCAGGCAGGGCAG